TCCAAGTTCTAGTTTCGAGAAATGCGTAGTTAATCAACTTGCAGCTATATTCCATAAAAGCTGCAAGTTGATTGGCTACACATTCCTCGGAACTAGAACTTGGACCAACTAGCATCGTGGACACAGGCCTTTAGAGACCTAAGATTTAACCGTTAAAGAAAAACAGTAACTTGGAGCATTAAAAACGTAACGTAAAAAAACGATCGATCCGCCCGAGAAATTAATTTACTCGCTCCACCTATCCTCGGCAGACCAGCAGAATGTCCTCGATCGACTGATTCGTTCTTCGCGACGGCGACGCAGCCGAGGCCGCTGTCACAGCGCGCGCCGCAATCCCGGGGTCGCCTTCCGGAGCGCGTCCGCGGCACGATTATTAGTTTTCCGCCTCTCCCGGAAGCCCGTCGGCTCGTTCTCATCGACCGCAAAAGACGCGGTAACGTCGCCGTCCACAGCCCGCCGTACGTTACCACGCTCTATAGGGGAGAGTCGCTCTTTCCGCGTCCTCCGGGTAGGCGTGTCGGCGTCGGGAGAGATGATTTATCCCTCGCGCGAGGCGCAGTAACTGCCGAGATCGCCGGCTAAACGACCGCGCCGGTCCTTTTCGTGTATTAACCGTAATGCACTCTGCCCTGCCATTGTGTACACTGTATATGATCCCGATCCCTCCCCCCTCGCCCCCCGTTTATGCCCCCTTCGACTCCCCTTTGAATTACCAACTTTCGTTTCTTTCCACCTCTCGTCATCGTCTTCTCTGCATCTTTCTAACATTTTTGTTGAATCAACTAACAAGAATGTTCTTCATGTCGCCAGCAGTAATTAACAACTTCAGTGTTTTTATTGAACATATCTGACATTTTTAATAATACAGAACATTTCTATTATTCACGAAAAAGATTTCTGGTACATGCAAAAATACAGAAATGTTATATTACACTTATTTTGTTCTTAATTTTTGGCTTAAAGGCAAAAATTGGTAGCGAATATTGCTATTTTATGTTATCGTTTTCAATTCACTCCGTTATTATTAGACAATACGTTGCATTGATACGCAAATTATAAAATAATGTTATTTTAACGCAACCAATATACATGTGTTTACACTATTGTTTCTATCTGTTTATACATCAGCTGTGAATTTTGATAAGGAAAGTCATCGTATTACAAACGCGAAAGTGAAAGACAAATATTCTTAAAAAATAACGTGAGTCTTAAAAAGTGCAACTTGATTATTAAACAATAGAGTTAAAGTATTAAAGTAGGACCCTCAATAAAACTAAACAACATATAGAAAACGGCTAATGCGGGTCTAAGGCAGGATGTAGGTAGCCTATACTTTTGTAATTTATTAAAATGTGAATTCATAATACCGTTTCTTTCCACCTTTATCCTGCGCACCGATTTCTTTTCGGACGTAACGCAATTTTCTTACGGGTGGAGTTATTATCGCCAGCAAATTCACATATTCAAATCGATAAACGATTTGTAATTATATTTTAAATGCTACGTTTAGCATTTTCAGATGCTACATTTAGTACTCAATACCCCCCCTTTCCCCGTATTGTAAATTATTCTTATTGCGAAAAATATTTTAAAATCAATGTAAAAATGGATTATAAAATTGAATAGCTCTCGTTGATATTATGTATGTTTTCGTCACTTACCTAAACAGAGAAGAGATCACCTGTCGATCAATTATCGCATCGAGAAAGGTTCGGCGCGTTCGTGTATCTCCATCTCGCTTCCGCTTCAAGAGTCACGGCCGTTCCGAGTCAAAGGAGGCTAAATCGAATTAGTCGGCTGACACATTGACGTGTTTTGCATCGTGTATCGTCCTACAGTTGCAGCGGCCCGGCCAAACCCGGCATATGGGGTCACGCCTACGAGGTGAACGAAGGGGGGCCCCGATTTCGGCTGTGAATCCCTTTTAGGGGACTCGGGGCCCGCACGCGCCGCAGCCTGCGAAAAAGCGCAATCCGCCGATTTGGGACGACGATGGTGATATCCCGTGGGAGCACCCGATGACGATGAGTCGACCCGGGGCTGCCCTCCCCCTCAAAGACCGCAACGAAATTGTCAAAACAAGGCGAACGCCGGGGGCCCTCGATTAGCGATCTCTTTCGAGAGTTTCGGAAATCGACAGACCAACTTGGAATATATGGAATCTATTATTTAAGGTCCGTTACGCAGACAATGCTGTTTCTTTTTATACAACACTTTGGAAATTTAACACTCTGGTTTGTTACACCAAACCTTGATTTTTTAAATGATTCTCGTACACCGAGATGCAATTGCAGTCCAGCTACCCGACTTTTGAAGCTCACAATTAGATACACTTTTTCAATTTTATTGCAACAATACAATTTGTATAAACTTTCCTTACTGTGCGCAAAAACACTTTTGAATTCCAAAGGGCTACGTAAGTGTCAGTTTCCTAACGAGCCGTCCTCTTCGAAGTGATAGCCATAGTTGTACCGAGTGGGCATAAGGTATAGAAGGCAAACGATACATATTTCGGATTATACTCGCACGTTTTATTGCCGACACGATATTACAACGTACGCAAGACTATAGTCCGACATTTTGTGCGCTTCCGCCTCATTGTAACGTTTCGCCGGTGTAATGCAGCTGCAATGATCGCACGGCTGATCGATACGCGATATCGCTGCCACGTAATAGTTGCCCGCCGAGCTGAGACCCGCTGCTTAACGTAAACTATCTACAGCAAGTACAAGCTACGGTGTTTATGCCAAGTTACTATCTACGTGTACGTGTATATTTACAAACTTCCTGGACTTGCTATTTACAACGCGCGCGCGCATCGTGAAGTCGGAACCCTCGTTTTCAAAAAGGATCAAGAGATGCCAGTTGATCGACTTTCGCGTGTTTAGAAAATCTGGACTGATACAATAAAAGATGAATTGAGGAGAGAGGAAGCTAATACATCTTGAATGATTACTAAAATTATAAAAAGAGGCATTTGAGAGACTAAGGATATCACAAAAGCCCCCATCTTGTTCATGCACAACGATCTGACTTCAATAAAAAACAAAAAAAAACTGTTCGATTCAATGTTCTTTTGTCTCGGCGAGCAGTACAATAGATAAAAGAGTTGTCCGAGACAAAGAGAAAGTTTGCGCTTGTCTTCTTACGTATGTTTCACATTTGTCATAGCCGCGCCTTTTAGACTTTTGATCAACGCAATATCCAACTTTATGAGAACTCGACTTCATCTTATCATGCGCGCGTTTCACACCGAATTATCGATCTACCTCTATACCTTTCGCGTCCTGTCGTCGCACGTCTAAGTTTATCGTCCACGACGTTCACTACCTCCCGGAGGACCCGAGACCGGCTCGATGCGCCGGCACCGCGAAGGCCCTTAGGCCACCCCCGACCCCAATTTCTACCCCCATACCAGCACCGAGGGGCGGCTGTACCTGGCCGGTCAGGTTCACCGATGTGTTCACCAGTCCCAAGGTATCGCCCAACACCGACGACGTCGCTCCCACGGACCCGCCCTCGCCCGTAGCCGGCGTCGGTCTCGCGCGCGGCGCCCTCGCGCACTTTTCCAAGTGATGATGGTGAGATCTAACTGCCAAGCGGCTCACGTGCACCGGTATCGGCACCACGATTCTGGTACCGGAAGTATGCTGCCCCGTGGTACCGTTGTGGCGGCCAGAAGCGCCGGAGGGCGACATGGCTGCCGCCGCCGAACCAACGCCGACGCCTCCGCCGCTCAGCCCGGCCTTCACCCGTTTCCACTTGGCACGTCGGTTCTGGAACCAGATCTTCACCTGCGCCAGAGTCGCATCATCGATTTTAAAGTTATGTAAGTTCTCTTGTAGAAATTGCACGTGATAATTGATATGACAGACAGAAGAACTAGAATGCATTTAAAGAAAGTTCAGTCCGTAACTTTGGACTTCTAATTTTAATACTAAAACTATCAAAGATTAATTGTACTATATACTTTATATATATATATTTCTTAAAGATATATGCAAGATAAGTCAAGGAAAGTCTCGCAATGCATATTATAAATTTGAGTAAAACACTTAAAAAACATGGCTAATCCCTTTTTATTGTTTCGGTAATTTTAATACTAATACTAATTGATTGATAAGAAAGTTTAATATTTCCATAAAAAAACGGGTTCTCTTTCGGGATTGCAAAGCTCGGCTCCTTTCCAGAGATTCGACCGAGTTCCTATCTCCAATTCTAACGATTTCGAATACTAGTTCATCCCTGAACATTATGTACTAGCTGTACAGCTCATCGATTATCGCTTTGGTCTGGCACTGACCTGCACCTCCGACAATTTCAACGCGTGCGCTATGTGCGAGCGTTCTGTTAGGCTCAGGTACTTCTTGGCGTGGAATTCGCGCTCAAGCTCGAGCAGCTGTTCCGAGGTGAACGCGGTACGTCGCCGGCGAGCTTTGTTACCACCGGCACCCGACGCTGACGAGTTCTGTCCGTTCTCCAGCGGCCTGCTAGGACTCGGGACGGCATTGCCGGCACCGCTGGCGACGCCGTCGGAAACGTCGTGACCCTCGCCGGAACCCGCTGCTCCGCCACCTTCTTCGTCGCTCTCGGCTGACGCACGACCGTTTTCCGAACCTGGAACATGTGAATGATTTCGATTGGAATAGACCTTTGATCTTGCATAAAGAATCTCATTTTAGAAAAAGAGAAATTGCGGAAATGTTTTTCATAAAAATCATATTGCCAATGCAATCAACCTACAGCGAGACACTGAAAATTTTAACTCTATATACAATAGGCTAATTAGAATAACCTAGCATTTACATTCCTCCCCTTCCACGTTTCCTTGTAACTCCTGTACATGGCTTTAGGCTTATTTATCGCTTATTCTGTTTTCTAACGTTGACGACAAGACACATTGTACAACGAAATTTCTGATTTCTAACTTAATTTTCACATCTCTAATCTGACGAGTCGTGTTAGTTTTATTACATTAAAGAAATACTTTAATTTTTTTTCTGTTATGTAAGAACTCATCCTAATTTAGTTCATATTTTGTTTATCCATTCAGACATTTGTAGGCACTCTTGTAAATGTGTTACCTGAGGAGGACCGGTATTACTGGCCGAAACGTTGTGTTTTATTATAATAACGAATTGCCAGTAAGGTCGTTTCCACACTTATTAAAATTCTTGATTATGAAGAACCTGCCAAATACAATCTTTCCTTCGTCCGCACATACACTAATTTGTAACATAATTAATACGATAACATACAATAAAATAGAAAATCTATATTTGATAATACTATGCTGTTAAATGAAGTTGCGTTACGTTTGTATTTTGTTAACAATAACATTGTTCAACGAGCACAGGTGTAATGTAACTCGCCTTCCAATTGAAACATTATATTTTTGTATTCCGATATCCATTTACCGAGCTTGTACAAAAGCAAATAATAATTGTATTTGGTATTTGATACGTATAGTCGTCAGGTAAAACTGTACAATTCCCAGGATTGAAATCCACGGGTAACTTTCGCGACATTAAGTCATCAACAGAGTTTATCGCTATCGGGAGAACATCGCCGCGGTATGTATAGCCCGGCGGCTATTTAATATGCGGAGCAGATTGGTCGTTCCTTCATAAAAGTTGCGTTCTTCGATCGTCGGCAACGTTTTCCCGCTCGTAATTTCCCGTATAGTGTTTTTTTTCCCCCTTCATCCGCGGGACAGTCGAACGCGGCATGCAATATGCACCGAGATACGAAACAAAGTTACAACGGAGTTTGATGACTCCGCCGGGTCATTATTTATTGAAAATTATTCCTACACCGCGGTTATAAGTTCCACTCGAACGGCTCGTGTCCGACTGATTCGACGATCGACTGGACAGTAACGGAAATTTGCGTCAACAAATGGCCACGAGAGAAAATATTTATCGAAGATTACCTCCGGCAGGGCTTTTATATAAAGGAAACCGATCGGCAATTTTAAACATTTCGAGCCAAAAATACGTGGGGAGTTTTTCAGAGTTTCAGGTTTAGGAAAGACTAATAGCGAATTCGGCGGCTTGCACGTGTGCGCACTGAGTGCACACTAAAGCTTGCTTACGGTTGATTTTTATATTTGAGGATCGTCTTCAATATCTCTTGAAATATTTCTGAGCAAGTAAAATGATCTGTATAACATTCATACGGATCACTTTTCGGCTAAATACTCTTCGAGTGTGTATTCAAGACAAAGTCAAATGTAAAAATTGACTGCAAAGCAGCCTTGTTGTGCACTCAGTGCGCGCTAGTGCAAGCAACCAAAACTCACTATAAGTCGTTCTTTAAAATGCGTCAGCTACGACATCAGTGCTCGAGCCATCGCATTATTTGTATAAGTACAACGATTGACGCTAAAATGATTGTCGCAACATAAGATCGCGTCGCGACAAATGAACATAAATTAAAACTTATAAGCGCGTTATACACGTCTCTCTTAGAAATATGTATAAATAGAATCGCAAGTTTCTGCACGCGCGCTGGATTTTCTCGTGTCAGCAACCGCACGTGATCAGCACAACTTTTCCCATTGCAACGTGGCCGGGTCGCATGATCAAGAGCCCGGTCGTTATTTGCGGGCGCATTATTTCCTGCTAAAGTTCGTTGTCAACGGTCAACTCGGCTATGGTCAGCCTGACTTATTCATCGGCCGCGATTCGCGTCTTTCTTATCCCGAAGTTCGCCAGGCTGGCCGATCGCGCGCGTACTTATAGCAGCGCGCAACTTTCCTCCACGCCGGTTTGATGCACTCTCCGGCCGTTGATTTATTCAGAAGGTTTCGATTAGGCGTGCGGAACGCTTCCGCGAGCGTACACGGGCGTTGTCCCCTGCCCGCCGTCTTTACACTTCGCGGCGGAATCGAGCGTGCGGATCGATCCGCGAGAACGATGTCGTTACATCCTCATTTAGCGGACCTCGGCGCGGCGAGGCTTTTACTCCATACCTTTTCTAGCGAATAGAGTTATTGGAGCGAGGCTATAACCCAAAACTTAAACACGGCACTCGAATCGACGGTTGTTTTGTTTGTCTCAAACAGGCAATACAATTCGATTCTTACGGCGAGCAGGTTGGAGGACGTTGAATGTGTGTGTATGTATGACGCTAATCGCGAGAGAAAATTAAATTTTCAGTCGAGAAAGAAATGTCCGATGTATAGATAACGAATCAAGGAGGACTTGGTAAAACATGAATTCTAATTAATTCAACATGAAACTTTAGTCGCATCGAAGTCTCGTTTTTCTAATTTAAATGGCTGATGACATGGAAAATATTGTAAAGAGAAGATCAACTTTTAATTTAGCGCATTAAAAGGAACATTAAATACTTGCTAAACGCTTTAACCAAGAAACGTCTGTAATAATAAGAACCAAAATAATGAGAGAAAGAATAATAGCGTCGAACATCGTTCAGCATTCGAAAGTAGAGTAATTTGCTTACTAATCGATTAGGTTGCAAATTTACCCGCCAATTACACGAACACGCAACAGATTAATTGGGTCGCGGCATCTTTATCGATTGCGCCCCAAGAAAAGCTGCTGGTATCTGTGTCCAAAGTAATATTAAAATGTTATTGATTCGCCGTGCATAATAATAATCGGTGAAAATAGTTGGCATGCTCCGGAGCTCATGTTTTATTTAACCGCTGGCAAATGGCAATTATTGAAACCTGTCAATGACGAAGCAGCCGGAAATCAAATCATTTAACGATCTCCATCACCGATTCACCGGTCGTTCATGTCTAATTAATTTTTGCAATCTATTCGATTCTACTGTTTCCATTCTATCAATTGCTTGTTTGTCAGCTGATTTCCGATATTTTCTTTTCAAGAGAGAGAGAGAGAGAGAGAGAGAGAGAGAGAGAGAGATTGATTTGAATCTTTAACACATATTGAATATCTCCGAACAATTAGAACTGTGAAACATATTATTAAAACGGAATATTTGGACCTCTTAAATCCTAAAGTTCTTAAAATTTTCAAATCATAAAGTCTTAATTCACTAAAATAGATAAATATCTTTTTACTCTGAAGGGATTCTGAGATTTTTAAACTTTAATATTCTGCGATTCTTTATAAGTTAAAGATCTTTTAATTATAGAATTCTGAAACATTTTCATTCTTGACTATTTTAATTGAAAGTTTTAGTACATTGACTCTTAATCTCTTATCAAAAATCTCAATCTTCTTTAATATGGAGAAGTTTTATTGTAGAACGTAGTCTACAGTACTAAGTATAATAAACATATAATAGTGAAATGAAACGAATTATGGCCTGTGACCGTAGCATCTCGCATAATGACACGGGGTTTCGATCGATCGGCGGAATCGCGCCAATCTCAGTATCGTTGTTACCAAGAGGCATTGTTCCTTTTTTTTTCGCGACAAGTGCGGTGCGGTCCTTCACGGAGCAAGATGCGATCCTCCCATATCGTGTCGGACGCGCCGCAGGATCTCCGTACTCGGGCAATGAATAACGAAAATTCACCGACCGGGGAAACTGCGGAAAAAGCGAAAAAAAAACTCGTGGGGTCGAGTGCTATCGTTCGATTGCAAGTGCGGACAGCAAGTAGTGGAGTAGCGATTTATGCATCTGCGGTTTTCGTCAAGTGCGACGACTCGCGTATCAATTGTAATTTTAATTGTAATCGTAACAATTCTCCCAACGACAATTTAACTGCGACGCAAATCGTAAATTGTAAACTGAAGAGCGTTAAATAGCTAATGAACAAAATTGTGTGGCTTTACATACATTGCCACATGAATACATAGTTTCACCGTTACACGAGTCTTAATTATATCATCACACTTTTCTTCGCTATTTTCGTAGCTTGGTGATAAGGTTTCAGTAGCCACGTGTACTTCTGGCCGCGCGGGAAATACGTCCGGCTTATTAAGTGTTAAGGAGGCAGGCGAGATTCGCGACCTCGTTCCGGAATAATTTGCTCGATCGCAGCCCGATATAGCGCTCGGCGCGATCGATCGGTGAACCTCGCCGGAAGCAATTATCGGGATCGGGCCGGAGGAAACGCTCATTCGCCGCTCGCGTATCACTTCGTGAGTGTATTTTTGGATGTGCGACATGAAATTTCAATCGGGCTTATTAACGGGTCGCTCTGTCAGTTTGTGCTGTACGATGATGTTACCGGGCATTGCGACGATCGATATAGCGAAGCGCCGGTTCAACCACTTCTTTTCTCTCGGCTCTTCTCTCACATGGCTGCGAGAGAGAATAAAATACCGTCTGTCTTTATTCTCACGTAACAAAAGAAGAATTGCCCGTGAAGACAAAATATTCATGTTTCAAACATACGGAGCTTCCTTGATTTAAGATCTTCAGTAAGACCGAATCATTCTCTCCATAATCTTGTGTTTGCAATTTTGAATGACTTACAGATGGAGCACGAGCAAGCTCTAAAAAATATTGAAGAAAGTATATTTTCCTTGTACTCTATACTGTATACACAGAGAAAAGAATGCCGTTGAATTAAAAGAAAATTAAGTTGCTTGAATTAAACGTTCGTGTCACGGGCTGCCACCAAACATAAATAATTCACTCAATTGTATTCGCTATGGATTGTAATTTTGTGC